AATATCATTCAATTTATAAAATGAGAACAAGACCTGAATAGGCATTTCTCCAAAGAGAACATACAAATGAATGACCAATATATGTATGAAAACGTGTTCATCAGGGAAATGCAAATCTAAACCACAAAGAGATGTTATCTCACATAAGTTAAAGTGGCTATGGTTTTTTAAAATGATAGTAAATGCTGGTCAGTATGTAGAGACAAGAGAATCTTTATATATTGTTAGTAGAAATGAAAACTAGTATAGTCATTATGGAAGGCAATATGAATAGTCACAAAATTAAAAATAGAAATACTATATAATACAGCAGTCAAACTGCTAGGTGTATATTGAAGGAAATAAAAAATAAGGAGCTCAAAAAGAAATCTTCACTCCCATGTTCATTACAGTGTTGTTTTACAACAGTCAAGATAGGAAAGCAACACAAACAGCCATCATTTAACAAATGTATAAAGCAATTGCAGTATATACCTGTAATAGAATATTATTCAGCCATTTAAAAAAAGGAAATCCTGAGATTTCCAGCAATGTGAATGACTTAGAGGACACTATGCTGAGTGAAATCACTCAGGACAAATCCTAGAGATCCCACTTGCATGAGAAATCAAAAATAGTCACTCACAGACATAGAACCAGTGCTGGTTGTCAGGAACTGAGAAGGTAATATTTCTGGAAGTAGACACAGGAAAAATGTTTGCAGCATTGGGATTAGTGAAAATTATTCAATAAGCACCAAAAGTACAAACCACAAAGACAGAAAATTATTGAACATCACCAAATTTTTCAATAATTTTTAATTTGTTTTACTTAGTTATACATGACAGTAGTATGCACTTTGATATATCATATATAATGGAGTATAATTTCTCATTCTTCTGGTTATACATAATGTAGAATCCCACTGGCCCTATAGTTATATATGTATATAGGGTAATAAGGTCTGAGTCACTTTACTATCCTTCCTACCCTCATACCCACCCCTTTACTCCCCTCTACCTAATCTAAAGTAATTATATTCTTCTTTAGCATGCCCCCATGTGAATCAGTATCCTCATATCAGAGAAAACATTGAGCCTTTGGTTTGGGGGTATTGGCTTTTTTGCTTAGCATGATATTCTTTTTTAGATTTTTTTATGTTACACATGACAGTACAATTATCTTGACAATTCATACATTTGAATCAAATGGGGTATAATTTCTTATTTTTCTGATTGTACAGGTTGCAGAATCACATTGGTCATACAGTCACCCATATACATATAGCAATAATAATGTCTATTTTATTCTGCTGCCCTTCCTATCCCCCCTTCCCCTTCCCTCCCCTCCCATCACACCTCTCTACTCAATCTAATGTGACACATTTCTTTTTTTTTCTCCTCATAACATCATACATGTATTCTGTATAACGATGAGGATCTCCTTCCATCTTCCGTGCAAATCCTCTAAATACATTTATCAGCAAACATCACCAAATTTTTAAATTTTAAGATTAAAAATTTCCAATCAATGAGAGATACCACTGAAAAAATAAAACATCAGCCACTAACTGAAAATAAAAAATACCTGCAATAAAAAAACTGAAATAAATCATTTTAATAAGAGGAAAAGTTATTTTAGCTCACAGTTGGCCCTGTTGCTTTGAGCCTGTGGTGAGGCAGCACCACATGTGGCAGAAAAAACTGCTTCCCTCACGGAAGCCAAAAAACAAGAGAGAGGAGGGACCAGCGTGCCACCATCCAGTCATGGTTACAGAACTTCCAAGCAGGGCCGACCTCTTGAAAGTTCCACCACCTCCTCAACATAGTACCATGGTCTTGGGACCAAGCCTTTAAGTAAAGGAACTTCGGGGGCACACATATGCAAACCACAGTGTCAATTAAGGATTGGATCCTTATAGAATATAACAAAAAGAAAAAAAAACTGCTAAAACTCAATAATAAACATACAAACAATCCAATAAAACTTAGGAAAGGATTTTAACAAAAACATCGAAAAAGATGATAGACGGTAAATAAGGAAACAAAAAGATGTTCAATATCTTAATGAAATGCAAAATAAAACTATTATGAGATATAACTGTGAACCCACTAGAATGGGTAAAATACTTTAAAATTGATTATTCTGTGTGTAAATAGAAATATGGAGTAACAGAATTCTTATACATTGCTGGTGGAATGTATAATAATACAACCACTGTGGCAAACAGTTTAGTGACTTCTTAGATAAAATAAATCCTTAACAATAACATTTTCTTTTATTCTTCTGTTGCTAACTTCTCCATTAAAATATTTCACCTCACTACGTGATTTTGTTCAGTCCCCCAATATAGCAACAATATTAATATAGAATCAAATTTTTAGAGAAAAAAATTAAGAAACAATCTGAATACAACTTTATAAACCTATGAAACTAATGGCTTTATGGCCACTATAGAATAATTTTGTTATAAAGAAGAAAAGAAGAACCTCCTCAGACTTCCAGGCTACTGATGCATATCTATAAAGAAAAAGTTGCTTTTGCCAATAGTCTGAGAAATAATTTCCTGGCAGCCAAGTATTGTAACCTACATACTAGATGGAACATCTTTGTAAAGGAAGGAAAATTCCATCTCTAAGACAAATGGCTGTAGCTATTGTCTTTTTTTTCCATAAGAGAAAATAAAGTTATAGAACTTCATGTCATAAATACATGGATCACAGCTTGTGAGTTTTGTAACATTTTACCAACTATAAAAGAAGTTTAGTGATGCCAAACGTGTGTTTTTTGGTTATTCTTTTATGCTCAAACTATTATCCGTCAGTAGCCAAACAAAACTGTTCATGCTAACAGGAGGTGAGAAAGTTCAACTTGTTTATCAAGAGAGAAATATTTTATTGCTTATGTTTTCCAGACTGAGGCAAACTGATAAGCTTTAAAAGAGGAAATCCACTCATGCTAGGAATATGATAGGAGAAATTATCTTTAGGTTTAAGCTTTCTTTCTTGGCACAGGCATAAAGAATAAAATTTTCAAAATGCATTCTTTTCTATCAGAAGCTAATAGTTCACATTTCAATACATTTAGCAAGTAAAGAATAGCCCCCAAAGTCTTCAAACTGTGCTAGTAGTTTTTCTTTCTTTCTTTCTTTCTTTCTTTCTTTCTTTCTTTCTTTCTTTCTTTCTTTCTTTCTTTCTTTCTTTCTTTCTTTCTTTTTTTGTTTAAGTGTGTGTCCTTGTCACTTTTTTTTTTTTTTTTGGTTACAGGGCTGCAACTCTCACAATTCCAAACTGAACTATAACCATAGTTTTGCTCCAACTCACTATTTGTCTTTTGGGGAGTTCCTTCATTTCTCTGTCTTACATTCATGCCTGACAAGAAAATGGGATTAAAGTGTACCATACCTTAATGTCTTCTTAAAAACATATACATAATAAACTAAGGCACTGATGGTTTATAATTCTGTAATCATGCTTGTCAATGTTCTGCACACTATAAACTATTATAATCTTGGATAAATTTCAATGTGTTCACTGTAACTGGACACTCCCTTAGTTCTTCTTTTCTTATTTTTTTCTTTCCTTTCTTTTTTTCTTTCTCTTTTAATATAGCATTAAAAAATGCTGTCTCCCGTAGAACCTGTGCTTTTCCCTATCTGGTCTTTGATAAGAACATCAAAATGTACTTTATTTTCTTAAAAAGAAACTTTATAAAGAGGAAAAAGTGCAAGAAAAGCCTCGTGAATTGAATAAGAACCTTTTTTTAGTTTCATTTCTAATGGGAATATTTACAAATAAATACAAAAGTGTTGTGGTGACTTTATTTTATCACAGAAAAGACAATTGATTTTGTGTGTGGGAGAAATATGGAATTAAAATACCTATCACTTACCATAACCAAATGTTCATTACTGAAGGACTTAAAAATGTAAATGTGAAAGACAAACCATAAAGGCTTCAGAAAAATGTATTTATGTTCTCAAGATGGGGAAGAATTGCTTACGCAATATACAAAAATTAATCAGGGCTGGGGCTGTAGCTCAGTGGTGGAGAGCCCGTCTCACACGTGTAAGGAACTGGGTTCAATCCTCAGTACTACATAAAAATAAATAAAGATATTGTGTCCAACCACAACTAAAAAAAATAAATTTTAAAAAATTAATTATAAAAGATAGATTAACTACAATAAAATTAAGAACTTGTGTTCAAGAGAAACGCAAAGAAGGCAGAAAGGTTCAGTAAACTGTGGGAAAATGTTTGCAACAAATATAGGCAAAGAAGGATTAGTATTTAGATACAAAAAAAAAAAGAAAGAAAGAAAAGCAAAAGAAGGAAAGAACAACTCTTTCCAAAAAGCGAGACAAAAGACTCAGTAGAAAAATGTACCAAAGAGAGGGAAACCCAGACATTTCATAGATGAGAAACAAATAGCTCATAACCATATTGATATAAATTTACCAACTGATAACTGCCCACAATACAAACCATGGAGGAATCCTAGACATTGTTGACAGGAAATGAAACTGACAGTACCACTTTGGAAAACAATTTTTGCATTGTAAATCTATGAATAGTCAATCACATCCCTAAACCCCAGCAGTTTCAGACCTGGATATAGAGCATCTCTCTTGCATATGTGTAAGAGAGATAATATACAAGAGCCACAGAGTTAATAACAGCCGCAACCAAAAACAAACAAACAAACAACAACAACAACAAAAAAAAAAACCTGGAAACAAGCTCAATTTTTTTCCACAGAAGAGAGAAGTATGTATATGTATAGTTGAGGGTATCTGCCAGCATTAACTCTCCAATAATTTCCTTTTGTCTTGCTCCTGCCTAAAGGTCATGTGCTTCCAAAAAAGGTCAAAACAGAAAAGCAGAGAGAATCCATAGTTCCTTGAGGTAGGCTGTGGTCCTATTCATATTAACTGTCCACCATAGCCTGTAGTTCATGTGGGAGGCATGCTTAGAGGAAACAGCATGGGGTGCAAAATGTATCTGCTACCAATACATACTTACCCAATCTAAAAACAGTGTCTGTATTTTATCCATTCCTCTGTTTCAGCTCCTTGTAGATTGTGTGGAATATTCTAGAAATGAAACATATGTGTTATCAACTGTGGAAACTCCAATGCAACTGTGGGAGTTACTGGAATATAATTTGAGAACTACTGGGCAATGGCAGCATTCTTTGTCAATTTTTCCTGATAAACCCTTTAATGGTTAGCATGCTCTAGACTATAGGGCCACATTATTCCCCAAGACAAAGGACATTCCCAACCATTCATCTGAGGTGACCTTGAGTAAATGGCCTGCTTCAGAGGAGCTAGGTAGAGCCCATTAGGGGGTTTCAGCCATTGATGTATAAACAGAGACATGTGTACTACTTCTAGTACTGCCCTATAAAAACCTTCCATATATAACCATCCATGCTCTTTTCACCCTATAAAATGAATAGATACATAAAAAATTTTAAAAGGAAAAATAACACAGTGTCTGAGCTGTTCAGAGATTCGTGAGCCTTACTTAGCCTATCCACATAGTTGCAGGGAAAATGATATTATGGGGAAGGCAAAGAAAGATCCTAAATATTAGGGTTATGATACCAGCAAGGAAGACAAAAATCAATACCAATCTAGTCGGTTATCTAGACTTGGTGCAGTAAAGTGCCATGAGGTTACATACTATGAAGTATATATAAACAAGTCTTAGAATAATTAGAGCAAAATCAATTGAAATATTACCAAATATGGGATCAGGGATAGAGGAAAGCTAAGCTAAAATTATAAATAAGATTTAAAAAATCAAAAAGAAAAGTATCTATAGATCTGATATATAGAACTTACAAATAAAATGTCAGACAAAAAATACATAGCCAAAATTTGCCTATTTTTCACTAATAGTAATATCAAATTACAATTATATTATTTTAATTAACCTCTCTTTTCCATTTCATATAAGGAATTATTTTTCTTTTTGCTGGCTAAAACTTAATGCCACTAATATCAATATTGACAAAAATAGTGAATAAATTAATAAATCTGATTTCTCCTGATAATGCAAAACTTGAAAAACAAGGACATGCTTGCAATTCGCAAATACAATTCACTTTCCTGGGAGCTAAGATTAAGAGAGTCTTTACCTAACTAGTTGAGTCTGAGTTGATACTGGAAAACTACACAGCATCACCATAATTAATACTGTGAAACTTCTTTCCATTCAGAATATAATCTTTAAAAATGCTTAGACACTTATCATCACTTTGAATTTAATTTTTTCTGCATTTCATTAATATTATTTCTTGTGTTAGTATTTTCTCTATCTAGATGCCCTCTCTTCTCCCCCCAACCCCCATTCATCAAAGAACAGCTCAAATCTATTTCCTCTGGGAAACTGACCTTTCTCTTTTCTAGATTCCTCCAACCCTTACCTTTGGAAGCAAATCTCCCCTTGCTCATCTCTCAAAATTCTGGAATTTCCATTACAGCTATTTTTTACCACTCCTCCCACACTAAATTATAAACCTTTAAATGCAGAATTCACTTGATTCATCTTAGAATTCCAACTGCATTTAAGAAGAGTAATAATCATACAGTAGATGTTCTAAAATAGTTCTTGTGTCAACAAGTTAAACTAATGATCATACACAGGTAGCTAACATATATTATTTTTTGCTACTTACTTCTATGCCTTACAAGCCATTTAAATCCATATACATGTAGAAATCTAGTACTTCCATTAGTCGAATCCATCTTATAAAAGATAAATTTTCACTTTAATTTACAAAGTGGTTATTATTAATCATTGGCAATTTGGACTTGTTCAAGTTACCTAATGAAAATAGATTCTCACAAATATCTAGGATTGATAGGAGTAATAAATGATAATGGACAGAATCTCCAAATATAATATTTATCTCAACTTTATTTTTGAAAACAGATTAAAATGAGTGTGTGAGCACACACCATTGTTTCTCATTTATTCTAGATCTTTGTGATTATAACTTCATCTGTGAAAATTATTGAAAACTTAGTTGTGATTCTTGCTAGTCAGTCTTTCTCAAAGTGATTTCTAAATATTACAGGAAATTGGCGGAAAAAAGAAATTTGCTTGCCTCAGCCAGTTTGCAGAGATAAACAACTCGTCCTACCTTTCTGTATTTCTTCTTTGTAATGTCATTCAGAGAAGGCAAGTATGTCTCTATAATCAAGAGACTGAAGTAAAACCTTCTTTGAAAAATCTACAGTTTCGTCAGTATAGTTAATTCTGAACTCAGGGTATATTCACATTTCAAAAAGAGTGGCTATAAAGAAAGTCAACGAAGTGCTGGTTTTGTGAGATATTTTTATTCCATGATGCTAATATAACCTGATATGTTAAATCTGAAAAGAAGTCTTGCCAAGAATATTTTATGATATGAAAGGAATTCACTAAGTTTGTCATCGGTTTCTAGTCTCATAATCAAATTGTCACCAAGAAATTAGGATAAGTTTTTATAAACATCTTTTTCAGGAGGACCTAATACTAAATCCAGAAAACACTGTCAGGCTATGAACTTTTCCAAATAACTCTAAAGATAAACTTTTTCTTTTCTTTTTTTTTTTAAGGAAAATCAGTATTTCTATAGGATCAGTATCTGCACCTTTTATGGAACTGAACCTCAAATGGCTTTGATAATATTTTATATTCTAAACTTATATGCCAATCATTTCTCCTCCCAACCTTCTTGCATTGTCTCACATGTGAGCTTTTTGGGAACACCTCATATCCAAACCACAGCAGTGTATAATACAAGTGAGATGTTGAATACCAAATGTGAAAAAATGTAAAATATCTCAATAATTTTATATTGATTATATGTGGAAATGCTCATCTTTCAGACACATTTATTATTGACATTACTTTTACCTGTTACTATTATTATTATTTTTGACACTAGAGATTTAACCCAGGGGCACTTTGCCACTGAGCTGAGTCCAAGCCATTTTTTATTTTTTAATTTTGAGACAGGGTCTGCTAAGTTGCTGAGGGGCTGACCTTAAACTTGCAATCCTCTTGCCTCAGACTTCCAAATTGCTGGAATTATAGACATGTGCCACTATGCCCTACAACCTGTTAAATTTTTCTTTTTGTAAATGGTACCATTAAATTTTAAAAAATTATATGTGTAGCTTCTTTTTTGACACATTATACATATTTTTTAACTTTTTTTAGTTGTTGATGGACATGTATTTTATTTATTTATTTTTATGTGGTGATGAGAATCAAACCCAGTGCCTCATACATGCCAGGTGATTGCGTCACCACCAAGCCACTATCCCAGCCCAACAACACACATTATATTTTTATGAGACAGCATTTCTCTATACCTTTACCTTGTTTTACCTAGTTTTTTTGGTACTCTGAATTTTACCAGCTGTAAGTGGAGAAATTTAATAAAGCAATGAATGAGTTATGATTGATTTTCCAAACCAGATAAGTGTTTGAGAGACAGTAGCTTGTTAAGTGATCGTTTCTCTCATCAATAGTTGTTTTCACATATTATGATAGTTTGTTTCGTTTTTAGTTAGACTGTGCACAATATTAACTTGATTGTGTGGCGTGAGATACATATAAATGTTGTAAAGTGCTGCCCAGTGTATTGGAAAACCATATTCAGCATGCTACTTCACATTTAACAATGACTAATAGTCACATCAGAACATTAATGCTTTAAAGTCAAAATACCAATAAAATAAGTGAAGAACTCAGAAAAGAAATGAAGTCCTTCAAATAAAATCACTGTAAAGAACTAGAATTAAGTTGTTAAATCAGAGTGACACTCTTGCTTTTCTTATCATATAACTTAATCTATAGATTGATTCTTAGTCATCAAAGTAAAAAGGATAAATTTTAAATGTTAAAGATATAATGGGAGTTTTTCTTATAATCTTTAAAAATCTGGCTTTTGAAAGTTCTTTAGTGTAGCTTTGAGGGAAGTCACTATTTTTCAGCATCATCTAATGAGAAGCCTAAGCACAATGATACATTAATAGAAAAGAGATGGTTCTGGAGCTTCCTACTAACATATTAAAGTATATTGCACACTCATCAAATTTCCAAATTCTTTTTAGACAGTAATCATTTGCTGTAATTCCATCCCCTAGAAATGATTCAATATCAGATACTTAGCATGCACATCATCTGTCTGTGTTATTTAAACCAAAGAAAAAGGGACCTGAGTAGTGGATAAGTAGTGTGGCTCCCCTTGCCTGGTTATTGTTGCTAGGGAAACCACTTCCTTCTAATCCTTGTGTTCAGCTTGTCCATCCCACTATCTGGCATCATTGCCTCTTAAAAAGGGCAACATCACAGCATGGCATAAGAACAGGAAACAAAAGGGACAAAAAAACAGTACATTGCCCTGCTGCATACAACATTTCTCAGAAAATCTACATGGTAGGGACTTCTGGGAAATGAAAAGCAGAGCCAATCCCCTAAAAACTGCTATGTGCACATGTGCTAGTGGTACTACATTCACACATACAAGTATGCAAAAACACCAATTTCCAAGTCACACTTGTGTTTTGCAGAAGAGAATATAATGTGTCAGGCCTGGACAGGACAGGGCTTGGCAGATCAGCATCCAAGGGCATGCTGGGTCAGTAATGGAGCCCTGTGATCTTCCTGAGAGGCAGCATCACTGGCTGGCAATATGATCAGTGAAGCAACTTCGTAGAAGTATATTCTGAGGACAAGAATAAGGAGAACTGAGATCCCCCAGGTAGGTCCTGGGGTCGGGCTGAGGCATAGGACACACAGCTGGTCAAATCAGAGCATGGTCATGAGTAAATAAAAGGAAAGCTAGTGTGAGCCTGTAAAAGAACTACAGGCCACAAGGCAACTGTTGTTATCAATTCAATATTGGTTTCCTCCTGTACATCTTATCAACACACTAAAAAATCCAAACTGGCTCTACAAAACAAAGAAACAAAACCTTATAAAATAATAATACAAAGTAACTAATTTGAATGAATATAATTAAAAGCACATTAATATTATCATCTGTGAGAATACATTAAATAATCAGCTCTGTTTTTGTTTTACTCTG